AGGATATTGGCACTGGAATTGGGGTGGCTTGGGGAGCGTTGCAGGGAGGAGCAGGGAGCTCTCTGCGGCCCCCTCTGTGTCCCCCTGGGCACAGGGAGGTGGGTTGGGGTGCTCTTGCCCTGGGTATCCCACTCTAGGGATGCTGCAGTCCGGGATGCATCATCTCCTCGGCCCGCTGGTGCCCTCGTGAGGTCTCGGCCCCGCAGCACAACTCGGCCCGCGGTCCCTCTGCTGGCTGCATCCCGGGGGCTTTGGGGGGCTGAGGATGCCCTCCCCACCACCGTTATCCTGCCAGACTCATCCCCAAACTGTCACAGGGCGGTGGTGGCAGCTAAGACAACTAATCCTCTCCCTAAGAACCCTCCTCAGACCCATTTTATCCCAAGCCACCCCGGCCAGGGGCTCTGCCTCCTACCTCCTTGGGAGAGAGGATGGAGATGTAATCCTCGTAGATCATCCTGGCCTTCTCGTCGATGGGGTGCTTGTTGCACTCGGTTTTGAGCTCCTCACACGCCAGCCAGAAGAGCATGTTCTCCTCGCTGTACTCAGTCCGCAAAAACTCCCGGAAGACGTTGCGCCCCGCTGGGCTCTTCATCAGCTTGTCGAAGGACTGTGCCCAGCCCTGCACCTCCTCTGGCGTGGGTTTGGCGCTGCCAGGTCCGGGGGAAGGCAAGGGGACAGCGTTACAGTTGCCCAGGGAGGGCTGTGGGCTCCCCACTGTGTCCCTCCTGCTCCCATCCCGTGCCCAAACTCCCCCCATGCCGAGGCTGTTCCTGCTCAGGCTCCAGTGTTATGGAGCTTTCAGAGGTCACTCGTGGGGTCTGTCCCAGCTCTGCTTAGCCAGGCACTTGGGTGCCATGAAGGGTGGCAGAGGGGACAGTGTCATGCAGTGCCATGCCGTGCTGGTCCCACTCCATGGCACTGCCCCTGCACTCACCACGCTTCACAGTTTGGGATGGTCTCCAGTTTGGTCTCCCGGGATGCTCTCCATGCTCGCTCCCGGTCCTCGTTCCTAACGGGGAGATAGAAAGGTAGTCAGGGGTGTTGGGGACACACTCAGACCCCCACCTTGACCCCCAACTGGTCCTGGACACTGAATCTCCTCTGTGGGCACCAGCACCCCCCACCCATCCCCGTCCCTCACCCGCTGCCCCAGTGGCACTCTGGCTGCAGTTTTGCTGCCACCGCGTGAGGGTGTCCCTGTGCTCAGGCACTGCTGTGGCCCTGGTCCTGCTCCACCACCCAGGCTGTGTGCCAGGGCCCTGTGCCAGGGGTGTGTGCCAGGACCGAGCTGAGCCAGTGTGGCCGCAGCAGCCGGCAGAGGTCAGTGCTGGATCAGTCCATGGCAAAGCCATCGTGAACAGTCACAAATAAACACCAATAGATAAACAAGGGTTATTGGTGACACCTCAGTACTGGTCCAGCCCAAAGGCAGATCATGTGATGGAGGTGCTGCGTGCCAGTGTCCTCTGTCCCCTCTGCCTCTTGCCCCCAGGGGTGCTGGTGGCACAAGTGGAGAGAAGCCATCAGCCAACTTCCCTTGGGCCCTTGAATTTTGGTGCCTGTCGCTGACCGCAGCCCTTCCTGCTTGCAACACCATCCCTTGCTGCTCACACAGGACTGAATGTGCAAACTTCTGCCCTGGCATAGGCAGCTGGGGTGGGCAAAGCCATGTCCCTGCATGGGCTACTCCTGAGCTCGCTGCTAGCATGCCTGATCCCCATTGTGGCTGACACTCGGCACCACCTGCTCTGGGAATGGGATACAGGAGGGATTTCTGTCCCGTTTCTGCCCACAGCTGAATGCCACCAAGCCTGGGGCAGCCCTCCTGCACCATTGCCAGGCCACAGCTGCACTGCAGGGGACCTAACCTCCCTCAGGCCTGGGTGCCTGCTCAGGCAGTAGTCATGTCTGAGCACTTGGTGCTGCACAGAGCACGGAGGAGCAGCAACATGTGTGTGATCCCCACATCTCTGTAAGTGCTCAAGGCCAGGCTGGATGGGGCTCTGAGCAACGTGATCTAGTGGAAGATGTCCCTGCCCATGACATGGGGTTGGAACTGGGTGATCTTGAAGGTCCTTTCCCACCTAAACCATTCTGTGATTCTGTGATCCCCCCTGCCTATGGGAACCTTGAATTCTGGAGGATGAGGTGTGTGGGTGATGCTTGCCAGCCCCGTGGGGGCCTGGGCCGGGGTGGGCAGTGGGACATACCATGAGCAGCTGCAGCAGCAGCACCAGCAGAAGCAGCAGGCGTTGGGGCGGTGGTTGCTGGCGGGTTGCACCGTTGTCGGAGAAGTCTCATGCCGGGACATCGGAAGGAGTGTCTCTGTGGACGCGGGTCCTGCGTACTGAAAGGCAGGAGGGTGGAGTGGCTGAGTGAGCTGCTGCTGATCATCCCTCACCATGTGCAGCCACACGGAGGTACACAGGGGACCACCCCTGCGTGGTGACTTGCTGGGATTTAGTTTTGACTTCTCCTTGCCACCCCAGCCCTGGGATGGTGACCCCTCACCTGCGTCCCAGCCTCATACACGGTGGACGGGGTTGGGTCGTGCTTCAGGGGCTGTTGTGCCGCTCTCTGCTCCTCCCAGCCCGTGGGTGAGCCGTGCTGAGACCCCCTGGCTATCGTCCCTGCCGCCTCCTGGACGGAGCCTGTGGGGAGGGGAAGAGCCACACCATGTTACTTCACAGAGGGACCCCAGCTTGGAGTGGCCTGAGGGGCTGCTCTGTGCCAAGACAGGTGGCGAGCTAGGGCAGGGCAGCAGGCAGAAAGTGCAAGAAAAGGAAGTGAGAAGAAAAGTGGAAGAGGAAATGTGTCGGGAGATGCTTGGCCAGCCCCCTGCTTTGCCCAGGATCTCCTCTCAGGCTTTGGGAATGCTGTGGGGCTCACTGCAGGCAGCAGAGGGGCTGGGCAGGGTGCAGGGCTCAGAGCTGACCTTGCACATCCCTGACCATGCCCTGAGCTCAGGGAAAGTGTGGCTGGACCCCCTGGTGCCTTCAGGCATGAGATGGGGAAGTCAGAGCTGCTTCACAGCATCATGTGAGTGGAAGGAAATGGGGTGGTGGTGGTGAGTTTTTACAGCTTCTGGTGCTAAACCAAACCTTGACCCATGCGACCTGCCTGTCCCTGCCTGCATCAGTGGCTCAGCCTGGAGCAGTGATTTTCTATGTCAGGAGTGATGCTGGGTGCTGAGCTCAGCACCCACTTCCATGTGGGCAGTGGTGAGGACATGGTCACAGCTGGCTGTATCCCTGTGCCCTGTCAAGAGTGATGGGCAGCAATCACAGTCCTTCTCCTGCAGAAGGAAGGAATGGGAGCAGGGGCAACAGGCAGGGAGAGCGCTTGGACATCTCAGGCCCAACATCCCCATCATCCCCATCTCAAGGTGCCCCAGGTCTTATCACCTCGGGTCTGAGTCCTGCTGAGGACTCAGCAAGGGGACAGAGTCAGGGTGTGGGTCCCAGCTGGGGACAGAGCTGTCCCCAGAGCCCCACCTGAGCCCCAGGGGTGCAGCCACCCCATTCCCAGCACAGCAGCTCTTTCCTGGGCCCTCTCAAACCCTCCTGTGTCCCAGTGCTCCTGCAGGAACGAAAAAGGAGAGAGTCTGCGTTTCGCTCCCAATTGTCCCTATTTATAGCCCCAAGAGCTGGCAGGATGGCCTCTCCTTTGCTTCTCCTGGCCTGTTTTCCACTCCCAGCACACTTCTTCCTGCCCTTGGGTCCATTTAACCCCCCACTTTTTCCCCTCTCCTTTGCTTCTCCTGGCCTGTTTTCCACTCCCAGCACACTTCTTCCTGCTGCCCACCCACATCCCACTGGTAACCCCACGGCGCCTGGTGCTGCTGGGGCTGCAGCACCAATGACAGCAACTAGTGTCGAGGCTGTGGGTATGGGGCAAGCAGGAGGAAACTGCCCTTGGGTCCATTTAACCCCCCACTTTTTCCCCTCTCCTTTGCTTCTCCTGGCCTGTTTTCCACTCCCAGCACACTTCTTCCTGCTGCCCACCCACATCCCACTGGTAACCCCACGGCGCCTGGTGCTGCTGGGGCTGCAGCACCAATGACAGCAACTAGTGTCGAGGCTGTGGGTATGGGGCAAGCAGGAGGAAAACCTGATGGCTGGGAAAACCCTGCTCCCTCCCAGCCCACCCTGGCTCTGCCACGGCCCTGGGGTGTGGAATGGGAGGACTGGGGGTGACTGAGGGACAGGGCTGTGAGGACAGTGTGTGGATTTGCTCTGGGGGAACATCCATGTACTTTGCTTCACTTCTTGGCCGTAACTGACCCACAAGCAGCTGAGCCAACACATCCTGGAGAGGAAGCAGGATGGTGTAGCATCCCTCCACATGGAGCATCCCCTCCCCATGCCGTAGGGTACACTCAGCACCTGGTCAAGAGCAGGATCAGTTTGCTGCCCATCCCAGGTGCTGTAGCACTCACCCAGTGCCATCTCGGCTGTGTGGACTGTGCCATGGGGACCAGGAAGGAGAAGGGAGAGGCAGGGCTGCAAAGGGACCAGCCCATGGCATCAGGAGGTGATGCTGGTGCAATTGTTGTTGGCACCAAAAGGCAATGCCAGTACATCTGGATTGGTACCAAAGGGCAATCCCAGCACATCTGGATTCATACCAAAGGGCAATGCCAGAACATCTGAATTGGATTTGAAGGGCAATGTCAGCACATTCTGATTGGCACAGAAGGGCACTGCCATCACGCTCTGGTTTCCCAGCCCTGTGCACCCCTTAATGCTCCCACTGCACCCCACCTCACCACGCCAGCAGGGGCTGTGTGCCACACGGCTGTTACCAGCTGCCCCAGTGCCAGGCACCACCGTGGGGCTGCTGGGGCTGGCGGATAGGGAAGTCCCAGCGGGCGGCAGAGCCCGTGAGCGCCGGAGGAAAGACGAGGGCGTGCGCACGAGGCTGCAGAAAGAGGAAGGATGACAAAAAGGGGACGTTTCCCCACAGAGGAAAGGGACGCCCCAAAAGCTGCTCTTGCTGAGCTCCCTGAGCCCCCCATGAGCCTGGGAGTCCCCACGTTCTGGGTGTCCCTGGGCTGTGCCAGCTCACACGCCTGTGACGTCCCCACGAGTCTGACACCACACTGCTCTCTCACCAAAGGGAGAGGGGATCCCACACACAACGGGACAAGATGAACTCTCCCCAAAATTGCTTTTGAAG